GGAACTGCTGCAAAGCCACTGCCGCTGAGACATACTAGGAATGGCAGATCGATTACAGTAGGATCTGAATAAAAGGCATATTGCACAGTCTGTTGCTCTTCATAATTCATTTTCTGCACTTTCAGAGTGTAATGGTGTTGTGGAGAGAGGCACTGAGGATAGTGGTGTTGTGGAGAGGGGCACTGAGGCTAGTGGTGTTGTGGAGAGGGGCACTGAGGCTAGTGGTGTTGTGGAGAGAGGCACTGAGACTAGTGTTGTTGTGGAGACCGGCTTGGAGACTATGGTGAGGCCTAATAGAAAGCAGTTGTTGTTTTTGGATTCCATCATAAGAGGTGTGGAGATGGACAATGGTGGTCTTGTGAGGTGTCTTCCCGGAGCTACTGCTCACAGAGACAGGAGACGTATCTGTAATATTGTTAAGCGAACAAAGCAGGAAGGGGAATTGGATGTACTTGTCCATCTAGGGACAAATTACTTGGCTTGCAATGAGGTTTCAGAGGTTAAGGAAGTTTTTAGTGTTTTTGCCAATGATATACGGCAGGTTGCTTCCACATTGTCATTCTCTGAAGTTCTGCCTGTGCATAACACTCAGAACGACAGGCGGATGCGTATTAGGGACTTTAACTTGTGGCATGGTGAATGGTGTCAGGAGCAAGGATTTGGCTTTATTTCTCATGGTAGCTCTGTTTGGAATGGAAATAAACTGTACAAAAAAGATGGTTTGCATCTTTCTCAAAAAGGAACAAATGTTCTCAGTGAGCAGTTCAGAGGTTTTGCTAAGATGTATTTAAACTAGGAGGGGGGGCAAAAGGTTGATAAAACATCAATCCAATTGTTCCCCAAAACAAGGACAGAAGGTGCCTGTAGCAAGTTTGTTAAAAAATGATAAGGTTAGAGTCATGTCTACAAATGCTCGCAGTTTAGGGAATAAGATCCATGAACTTGTGGCAATAATGGAAACTGATAGTGTAGATCAGTGGTAGTCAACCGTTTTCTGTGTATCGCCCACTAATGCATCTTTTTGGTTGAAAAAATTTCCTTACAGCCCACCAGTTTTCGCGCAAGTGCAGAATATTTTTTAGAAAGGAGGGTGTTTTAAAAAATAAATAAATGTACGTACATTTATCTTTTTATTTCTACTTAATGCATGTTTACAATGTTTTTTAACTTTATAAAGTTTATATGAGAAAACAATAAAGTAAATTGAAATTACCTTTACTAGTGATTTAATGAGATCCTTGAGGTTAATGCTGCAAGACTAAATATTTGATATCTGGTTCGATTTTCGTAAGGAACAAACGAAGGTCTCCTCTTTCGGTGATATTCAGACGACTTCTCTGTTTGCGCATAATATGATTTCTCATCTGTGCGTCAGCTCCTCTCCTCTCCCTCCTCAATTCCCCTCCCCACTTTTTTTTTTTTTCATTTTTTAACCTTCCTTATATCAATGCCCAGTAGGAAGGCTGAGCTA